ATTTACACATCTATTGCATACAAAGTCTATTGCAGACAACTTTTGTGTATCTATTTATAACACTTGTGTTTCATTTGCAACTTCTAAGACAATATTTGCTGACATTTCTTATTTACCATAATTTTTTATTTCATTAAAACACAATTTTATTGAACCCCAACTCAAGTCAATGTATTTTAATCAATAATTAAGAAACACTTATTTGCATAATATTTCCATTTTTGTTTCATTCGCTAGTTATTTAATAATTGAATGATAAACATGGCACTTTTGTGTAATACAATGTAGTCTACAATACACTATGGTTACAGTACTAGTGTATTGATAATCACTTGGGATTTGTCTTGTCTTCATGTAATTATGAGACCATTTATACGTCAAATACAGTATTGTTTCAAAAGATTGAAATTGAAAAAAAAATTTTTATTTAAACGCATTAAAGAAAACAAATAATGACAGAAAAATCATTAAATTAGATAATATTTGGTTTGAGTAATACTTTGTATAATAAATAGATTGCGGACATCACTAGTCGGCGAGACAACAGGCCAGACAACAGGCGCCCAATAAGGCTATACAACAACACTGTTCGTCGGAAATGCCTTCTCTTCGCTGTTGGCTTTGTTCGTGAATTATAATCGTTTGTTGCGGTTGTTGTGAATACGGCTGTTGGGTATAGGGCTGACCCTGATATGGCTGAGGCTGGTATGGTTGGCCGGGTTGGCCGCCCTGGTACTGTCCCGGTGGCGGATTCCAACCAGCTTGGTTGTATTGCGGGCCTTGCACTGGCACTGCCCCTCCCGGTTGATAGTACGGCCCTAAAGAGCAAACAGTTATTTGTTATATAAGTGGTGTTTAATATGAGATAACAAAAGTGCGTTAAAATACCTGCGTTTGGGTTATAAGGCGGCGGTGGGCCCGACATTGTCCTCTTATCCAGTATTTGGTTTTGAATGAGTTAATTGGTATACAATTTGTTTAGGCCTCAAATGTCACTCACAATATGACTGATTTTAAAATCAAAAATGGCTTTTATATGAAGGAAACGAATGATTTGATTGAATGATGTGTTTCTCAATGAAAGGAATTAATGACAAATTGTATGAATATATGATATATTCGTTAGTTTCCAATGAATCAGCGATAATAAGGCACTCAATTGTTGTGGAGTTTGAGATTAGATTAGATTTGAGTCTATTTTTTATATGATTATAAACTGCGTTGAAATTCATTTAATTTCTGTAATTAATTGCAATAATAATTACGTGTTTTATCTACATTTTTGTATAGGAATTACACAATAATTGCTAATTCAAATTGGCTTTGGTTTGCATTTAAACAGTAGTTTAGTGGCCGTCTGTTTCAATAAACAAGTGTATGCCTTAAATTATATGCTTTTGTTGCTAAATAAATTATTTAAAATAATAATGCAATCCAGTTTACTATTCATTGGAAACTACAATAATAATAGATTTGTATAATTTTATTAAATTAACGCATATTATAATCATTCGTTTATTTGGTTATAGCATACAAGATATGGTATAAAAAATATGTATAGATTATTGTCTTATAACAATAATAGATCTCTATTTATAGTATCGATGATTTTATACAGAATTTGGTTTAAGTTTTTAAAATAATCAATTAAATAACGTTATATAAAATATATTTAAGTTATAAATGCATTATAAAAATAAATACTAACAAATGCCACTAAATATTGCATTGAATAATTATTAAATTAATTGATTAATAAATGAAATAATACAATAATTGAGTGCCAATACATTACTGACAAGAATTTGATGTACAGTAAGGAATATTATTTCAGTTACTATAATGTAATGTAATGTACAAATTGTAGAAATAATATTGTAGAAAAACATTTTAAATTGTTATTCAATTTGTAAATTCTTTCAATGTTTTTATAGAAATATAATTTATGCCAAAAATAATACATGTTATACAATACACATGTAATACTATTATGAAAAATAATATTGTAGAAAAACATTTTAAATTGTTATTCAATTTGTAAATTCTTTCAATGTTTTTATAGAAATATAATTTATGCCAAAAATAATACATGTTATACAATACACATGTAATACTATTATGAAAAGCACACAGAATTTTAAGGTATTTGTAATCATGTGTTGGAATTCACTAAAAGGCTATGTTTAAAACTTTTGACAAAAGACACGTTTGTTTCTATATATTCACACGATATATGCCATCCCTTGCCATCCCTTCACATCCCTTCACATCCCTATCCAATCCTTTCCAATGATTTTATGCGCATTTGTGGCAACAATTGAAATGTTTTCAACAAAACACTTAACTTTAGTTGAGATAAATTGAATCCAAAGTCCAGTGAATGCAGTATTGATTGAAAATCAATTACAAAACTATACAAAAAACATAATAACATTTGTCTGTCATTTGCATCTAATTCTCAAAGCACTGCAACACATGAGACAAATGACTGAAGACATGCAAAGACAGGCCGGGATTTGACACAAGTATACAAGCATTTGATTAACGAAATAAAGAGGACAACAAAACCAGTGACTCAATCGCCGCCAAACGAGTCCTGTTTCCCCTAATTGTGGCTCATTTTGATCGCAATGTTTGGAAATATCAATAAAACTGGTTTTGATTTCGTCCGAAGTATGGATGGCATTGAAAATTGAGTCGCTTTTCGTTTCAATGATTGAAAACATTTGTGGATATGATTTAGATTTGGATGTGTTTGACGATAGGATGCCGTCATTGCCATTGAATGATGCCATTGATGCCAATGATGTCAATGAAGTCGATGTTTGCATTTCTCGCTTATATTTTATATATATTTTTAGGACATTTGATACTTTAAAAATATTTTCATAACTTTTCATAAACACATTGACTGACTATTGGAAAGACAAACGATTATTATTATTATAATTATTAATATAGCGATTGATCTCAAGTTTTTGCAGAAATAACTTTGAAGTTCTAGTAATTGAATGAAACACAAAGAAACTCGATATGAAAAGCAAAGTTTGACTAAAATTACTGATATGTTTGCTCTACACGTCATATCAAAAACCAGAAAATAAAGACTACATTAGACTTAACCTCTTTTATGAATGCGTTCCTCACTTTACCATTCAATATATCAGGTCTTAAGTCATCGACAAAACAAAAAAAGTTGTCTTCAGATCTCAGGTAATGATAGAGTTTTTTCCTTTAAATACTTTTCATTCAAAACATTTGAAAACTATTTACTTTTAAATGAAAGTGTCTTAAAGTTTTTAGTTTTTGAACGCATCGTTTGAAACAATTTCAAAGTTTTGTGGTTTTAATAATGATTAACTTTTGTGTATTTTTAAAATACTTTTCACAAATATTAATTAATTACTAAACTTATGAAATGTATATTAAAGTGCTTTTTAGAACCACGTGTTTGTGATTTTTATAACAGTAAATAAAATACATATTTTTGAATATCAAATGTGTTTATAAAATAAATTGTGATGTAAATTATGAATATAATTACATTAATTCAAACTCAATGTTAAATGTATGGAAAAGTGATTGAATGACACAAATGCGTTAATTAACTAACTATGCGATCGAGTCGTCGGTTCTCATACAGTGAGGCAATGAATGCACCCGTAATTAACGAGAGTAGCCATACATCAAAGGATATCAGTGTCCAGACATGTGGTGACAATCCAGTGGTCGATAAGCAGTCAAACATACCATCAATTCATTCAAAAGAGTTCATTCATTTGGATGTCTCTCAACTGAATCGCGTAAAAGACACCACAAATCATGTGAATAAAAATGATATCAAATTAAAAACATCAACATCTGTGACATTGTGTGAACCCATGTCCTCCACTCCCAACACATCTAATCAACAGTTGATCACAACTTCTAGTCCTAATCAAAATGAAGACTTTTATGATAATTGTTATCAATATTCATGCTTTTGTTGCATTCATTGTTGCGATTGATATCACAATTAATAATTGGATATTATTTTATTGAAGTTTTATTGCATAAGGAGTTGGGATTGTCTTTATGTGTCAATTAATATGAAAGTAAATTTAATTGTGATTACATTTTTTAAAGTCATGTTTTAGTTCAAAATAATTACAAGTATTATATTAACAATAATATTGTATTAAAAATTAATTTATTAACTTTTCCTCTCATTTCTTATTGTTTGTAATGAAATGAATCTCTAATTTCAAAGTAAACTTAATTTGTGTGACATTTAAAGTATTGTCTTTTGTGTTAATTTATTTTAAATTATATGTAATTATTGTTTTAATAAGAAATGGATACTCAGTATTAAGAAATTACAATTTTATAATTATTTTCATTATTAATTTCTCTGAAATACATTTAAATGCAAATTTATCTAATTTGGTTAACTTAATTAAAATATTATTTTATAATAATAACAATTTAAATAATTTTTGTTGGTTTATTTTTATAATGTATTCTAAATAATCATAATTATAATTACAATAAAATTAATTATGTTTATATATTATAAACAGTTAATAATTCTTATTTATTCTTCATTAACATTTATAATGCTTTTGTAAAAACATTACATTTACTTTTAAACAAACAAAACTATAAAGTTGTAATAACACAACATATTTAATAACACTTAAATATTTTAAATCGAGTTTTAAATTGTGAATAAATGTTAAATTTATTCCATTCATGTAATGATTATCAAGAAAATAGTAATTTGCTATAAATAAATCAACATGGTTTGCATTAATATATTTATTAAAACCATTAAATATGTTATAAATACGGTTATTACAAATCCATCATCAAAACGATCTTAGAATTTGACTTTAAATAGAAAGATAATGCAAATAATTGAATGCAAAATAACATTTAATAAATTGTCACATCAATAGACGTAATGACAATATTAAGACAATTATCTGAAGTGCCCTTAAGTTATACCACATTTTAGATCTATTTATTGAAGATTACAGTATAGTTTGTGAATTACAAAAACTTGTTTTTTAAAAGTATTTACAAATTATAATTACGGTTATATAGATTTACATTACATTATAACATATTTGAGAGTACGATTACTTTGAAGACTAGATGTCTGGTTATCTAATTAAAACGTGATAAATTAAATTTCATAAATTCATTATTATTCATGAATGTCTCAAAATATAATGAATATAAGAATTTGTGTAATAAAATAATCATTGTATTGCATGACATAAATTCATTAATTTTTTATTTTGTTAGTATTTTTCCACTGTATTATGAAAACTAAGAAATTATTAGAAAGTTTGAGCAGAAACTCAATTTTAATGTTGAAATTGTTTGAGAAATCGATAATTTATTATTTCGTTTGCAGTTATGCTTAAAATTTCAATTCTTATACGATTTCTTTAAATATGTATAAAAGATGTCTTCAGATAACAGAATACATCCGAAGACAGAGGATAGCGAAGTGAAGGCCGAACACATTGAGACAATCGCCGAAGACCTGCCGCCGAGCTATGCTTTGGCTGTATTTCGGCAAACCGTCAACAAAGCGATGGAAAGGCAGAGGAATGACCAGCAAATGGCGGTCACAGAACAACCGACCGCTTCCTCATCACCACATCTGTCCAAACAGTCGTCTCTCGGGTCCACTGAACTCGTTATTAATCCTCAAACTGTGGTCAGAAGTAAGATGCAAAGCAGTCGGAGTCAGGCCTGGAGTGACAGCACAGTTGTTATCAAAAATATCCACGAAAGGGACAGATTGTCTCTCCTCTGCTTCTGTGTCTCCACTCTTAGCGGTATCTTTACGTTAGCTTTTTATTGCAGTGCTTAAGACATGAGTGATTGCAATCATATTTTAATACTAATTTATCGTAATAAATACTATTAACAACAATATCGGGATTCTGTGTCTCATTTCTTGAATTTAAGTACAAATTATTATTAAACTCGGAATCGATTTCAAGAATATTCTGCTAAAAGTGTGTAATTTTTAAAAATCGAAAGGATTTTAAGCTAATATGTGATTGAAAAGTGAGATAATTTATTTTGTTGTTTATATAATTTTGTTA